ATATGAATTACTTGGATGTTTGTAAAACTTGAAATAAAAATTTCATAGTATGTCATATTCACTATGAAGTAAGTCAACACTCATACCTCGTAGATAAATATGTCTATCTACAATCAACTATCCATCAACTATTCTTTTTTTCAGTTTAATGGGAGGATAGAACTGAGGGAAAAACCAAGGGAGCTGACTACTGGAAAATGTTTAAGAGCTAACTTACCACAGGTCATGTTTACGTGGAGTGTTATAGCTGCCAGAAAAGGACTGGCTCTCATAGAGCTGTGCAGCTCAGGCCCCCTGGAACTGCTGGTTTTGCTCTGACATCAGGACAACTCGAGTCAATCTTGCTCTAAGAGAGCTGAGGTTTGTAAGGCTGGCTAGGCTCTGCACAGAGCCTGTGCAGTGGATCCACTGGAGTCCTCTCCTTCCAGGAATACCCTGCAGAAACACAGAGTTGCACTCGTTTTGCAGCTGACAGGCTTCCCGCTGGAACTTTGTACAGGGCAAAAGTGACTGTGTTATTTCCAGACCCAAACTGACCCTGGAAGCAGGAGAAGGGAGAGACTCTTCTGATCTTTGACCTGTACCATTGTTCATGCCTTTTTCTTAAGGTGAACCATAGCTGTCCTCTCATCAGCTGTCTGTGATAACCGTTACCACTGATAGTTCCTTTTGGCCTTGAAGAAGGTAAAAGTTATCTTATAAAAGCAGAAATAAATGATAAGTGAAACCAGCTAGTCAAATATTAATCTAAACATTTTTTTCATGAACTATGAAAGACACACATATATATATAAGAAGAAGACTTATTTTTTTTTCCTCTAGCCCTAATCAGACGTGTCTCATCCTATCAGATTGCAGTTTGAAAGAACCTCTACAAATCTCAAGTCAGCAAGATGGGCATGTGTTTTACTAGCTTCTGCCCCATTCTCCTTGGCATATCGCATTTGTCTTTTGAGTTGGGAGGTTCCCTTGTTCCTTGTCTTCAAATAGAGAGGATTGATTCATTGTCTTCATAGGACTTTGATATGAGGCAACGTGTTTCTGCCTCTGCACAGCCAGAAGATTCCTTGTTTATTTTTTTGCCCAATACTTTTGACTCATCCTGTTAATTCATTCTTTTCTATTGAACTGTCATCTCAGAGAAGAAAATAATAAATTACCATATAAATGGGGACAGCTTCTCTTTTCAAGTAAATTGTGAATTACATCTTCACAGACATGTTGTCAAATTCCTGAAAGTCAGTTGACATTGGATAGTGTGACACAAAGCTATAGATTCTCTAAAATATTTAGCTATCATAGAAAGGCTTTCAGTTATCCTGGAGTGATTAATGAAAGAAAATGTGTTTTAAAAGACTGAAAAAAGCCTCTGTTTGTTTGGTTTTTTTTCCTCTTCCAATTAAAAATAGATTTCCCTAGTATTTTCCATATCAGACATACCAAATCTGTAACACTACCTGTTTAAAAAACATAACAACAACAACAACAAAAAAACTTTGTCTGTTGATTGGCTCAGTTTAATCCTTTGAGATAAAAGAGAAAACCTTCTCTAAGGATAGCTAGGCACAATTGAAACTGTTGTATATCAGTCATTCATTCCCAGCATCTTCAGTATATATCTCGGGATTCTTACTATTCTTGGTCTTAGTGATCTCTATAGAATGCTGTCAAATTTACTGAATGTCAAAACGTACTGAAATGTTCCACTGCATTCTACTGGGTCTTGAGCAGGTGGGACTAAAAATGCTTGCACGGAGAATTTTCACCAGGGACATTGCTGATGTCAACAGAAGGCAAGCCCATCTCTCAGATGCTAATAACCCCATTTAGCAGCCCTGTGTTGATTAGAGTCATCCAGTTTATGGACTGGAGGGCAGAGCACACATTGCGACATGAGGGAAATGCATTGTTTTGGTGGCTGAGTCAGAGGGAAGCACAGGAAAATATTTTTTTCTGAGATTAGCTCTCAGCAAGTAATTTATAGTTGCACATGCAGTTCTCATATGAACAGATGTAGCTTCACTGAGCTTGTTATTTTAATGCTCTTACATCAGGAGCTGATTAGCCCAATTAAGACTGGGTTTTAGATTCCTAATGAAAATCAGCACTGACTAATGTGTGAAAGAAAATCTCTTAGCCCTTCACATCTCCATTCCTAGCAAATGGCTAAAATGTTAAGAACTGAAAAGCCTGAACAAGCCTAACTTACATTAGAATTCATGCCTCTGAAGCTCCAAAAGGTGCTGTGTTGATCTGATATTGCCATAGGACTCTACTCACTTCACATCCTGCTGAACTCATTAAAAATGGACGTGTGCATTTTGTTTGTAGCATAGCTCTCTTTGCTTTTTATGACTGAAATCATCACTGACTTGCACTTCTTTGTTATGGAGTTCATGGAGTCATTAAAGGGTTCTTAGGACTCAGCCAGCTTGTACCATGTCCCAGTCATTCATTGCCTCACAGCAAGTGGAAATCATAGGGAAATAAAAAAGTTTGTATTTAATAACTCAGTGCTTTTCTCTGAGGTCATGCCATATATAATGCTCCCCAAGTGTCTTCTACAAAAACATCAACGTGTCCTTTCATTTAGCAGCTAGATTGATACTCCTACAGGCTTAAAAATAATGGGAACAGACCTCTTCCAGTTTAACTTTTTTTTTTTGTTTTCATACAAGCAAGTATGTCTGACTTTCCTTGTCTTTATGGCATGTGGCAGTAAAGGCATGTTTGAAACTATTAATCTTCGATAGAGCGTTTCAGAAGAAAGCATTCTTTTACTTGACAAAATCAGAAGTTCCAAGAGCAGAAAGACCAAATGCTGTCTTCCAGTTTTCACCATTAAACACAGTATAACAAGAAGTCATTTCACGACTGTCATGGCTTTAAATAATAGGGTTGCACATCCTGCAGAACATTTAAAAGGATTAAACACAGAAGGAATAAAGTGAGCTCTGGCACAGCTGCTTGGATGTAAGTAGATAGGAGCCTCTTTGAATTTCAGATGTGTACATGTAAGCCGTATGCATTCTGATTAACTATTTCCTAGCATAGTGCTCAAGTACTTCACTCTGAGGGAATGTAGAAGAACAATTCAGCCTTTTTAAGTCACGTGGGCCACTAGTTACAGGTGTGACTGAGGGTGAGCCAGATTCTATGCATGTTGCTGACACCAAGGAGAACTGCCACCACGTGAAGTAGGGAGATTGCTTCTGTTGAACATTTCATATCCAGGCTGCATGATGCCTGCAGAATCTGGCTCTCTATTTGCGTGCTCTGCCAAGTCTAGCAGATGAAGGGGCTTCATAAAATGTTTGCAGGATGCTGAGATATTAGAATATGGTCATAAATCAGGCATTTGCGTTATTCCTGGCAAAGCCTGTTAGAACAGTTTCTTCTGTATTTATGAAACCTATCCACACCTTTTCATCACACAGCATTCTGCTTTCTTCTTTCTCACTGTCTCCTGTAATTTGTTGGAGAAAACTTCACTTCGGATTTCTGCAAACTGGTTCATTTAGAATACAACATTAATTTTTTCTTTGGCCATCATTTTCCTTCTATAGTTACAGGTTGCTCTGTCTATCAGGCACCACTTTCCTTTTAGCTGAGCTTTGTGCTGGTGACAGACCCTTCTATTGGGGTCTGTATAGGTTGAAAGCTCTTGCATTCCTATGCTGCAAGGACCATAGTGACCATCTTTGCATATGAGAGAATGGCACAATATCCTTTCTTCTTCCACTTCTTCTTCCTGACACAATGGTACCTGCACTAGCTGTACATAAATATTTCTGAAGTAGTTATCTATGTACTTGAGAATATGTCCAAAACCCTCTCCTGCTATCTGAAGCAGGAAGAAACTAATCATTTGGTTCTGCTTGCTTCCACCCACTGGAGATCAGCACAGATTTTCATGGGAAGCAAGGAGAAACATTCTGGTCTTGTACAAAAAAGAAATCTCATGGTGCTGGATTTGATGCTCACTCTTTGTGGGAAGCTGTGTAATTCTGTTACCATCCAGATTCCTGACAGAAGATCACTCACAGGTTCTTCCACTTGACTGAGACAAAGAATAGAAATGCATTTCAGAGGCCATCCATGTTCTAAAGAGAAAAGGTTACTGGTGTTGAGCTTTAAGTAGCAGCAATTAGAAAATGAAATTCTTTCCTATCACATGAAGTTTGATCATCTCATTTTATGTAACTCCTTCCCACTGAACAGATAGGTTGAGAACAATAGATCTCAAACCACGCTAGAGACAAAAAGTGATCTCTGGTCGTTCTCCAGGTGGTCTGAATTTCTCTAATGCTCAGAAGGTGTGTGCTGTCTGACAATCTGAATCATGCAAGCTGTGGCCAGATTAATGTAGGGGAAACTTTTTTTTACACTTGTAAATTGCAGTAGAAAACAATGAGCCCCCAAGCAGGTTTTCTTCATGTTCAGCTGTTTCTCTTTACTCCTCCAAATACTATGGAGTACCTGTTGTATCAATTCCTCCCTCCCTTTCTCTGTGAAAAGACATTCTCAAAAGCACTGTTTAGAAGTTGTGAAGACTTGCAAACTTTTTCTCAAAGATCATGATGAGATGCCATCTATAATAACTGCTTTAGGGATATAAGTTCTTTGGAGAAATTTTGGGTAGCTTTTTTGACACTTTTTATATTAGATGTAAGTAAAACAACTTTATCATCTGCAGAAGAATGATGGGTGTAAGGTTTAAATTCACATCCTGAATCTAGCCCATTATGGCTGTTTAAAATAAAAAATGGCCAATGTTAAGGGAAGACGAATGTAAATGTCTTCACTGCTTCTGAAAAGAAAAAAAAAGGCAACAATTAATGTTAGTGCTATCAGGAAAAAGGTGTTTCTGTCAGATAAGGAACCACACGAGCATTCCTCACTAAATCTCTCCATCAGATGCACAGCCTGTGTATTGCTGTTACTAACCCCTTGCTCTGTAATCTCTCTGTATATATGTCTAATTTATCAGTTTCTTGTAGATTGTCAGCAGCCTGCTGCCTCCATACCGCCACACGGCTCACAACTAGCCAGGGGGCCAGATTGCCAGAATGTCAGGTAAACTGAACTAACTTTTCTCTTTGCACATAGCTGCATGCACGTCTGCAACTCCCCTTGTCTTCCCTTGTTCAAAACCTCTTTGCTAAGGTTCTTCACTAACAGCAACTTGAGCAACAGTGATGATTTCTGCAGTGACAATACAAACACGAACCACAGATCCATGCACTTACATTGATGCAGAAATGTTAAAAGAAGGCAAAGTTGTGTCTTGCAGCCCTCATTTGTTCTTTTTATGCAGTTTCTCCACGTTGCCAAAACAGCAATGATTTTTCTGTGTTGCCTGATAAATGTACTTAAATGGAGGACTTGATTTTTAGGGCTGGGCACAGATTTCCATTTTTGTAAGGTGGCATTTTAAAGACACTTGTGAGATCTCAGCAGGCACAGAAACCAACTTAAGAAAAAAAGAGATGACAGTACATTTTTTATCAGTTCATAGTATGTTCTGTGCACATAGTCGCTTCTCATTTGAAACAGTTTCCATTATTTTTAGATCTTACCCTGATCTATAGCAACCCAGCTGATCTACAGCCCTATTTGCAATGAAACTGTTTCCCACAGAACGCTAAGTGTAGAAGCTTGCTGTAATAACGCAGACTGGAGGAGGGATGGGGTACAGCTTTCAGGCTGCACATGAGGCACTGCTGAGCACTCCTGCCAGCTCACAGGTCCGCCAACAGCCTTGGAACAGCCCCTTCATATGTGCTTCTCTGTTATTCCTCCCCTAAATCCTATCAAACTATTGCTTCTGCAGTTTTAAATATCCTTCTCAGAAGGGAAAAGCTACATCACTTAACTCTGCTATGCACTTGTTGGCAAGCATTGCCTTGTTCAGCAGGCTAACCTGCAGAAAGGAGCACATTCCAAGGGAAAGCCTCAGGGCTTTTTGCATTGTCCCTCAGTGCTTCCTCAGTTAGAAAGATCTCATCAGCCACAATCAGAACTGGATATATTGCTCAAGAAGCCATTCTTGGCATGTTTCCAAACTCAAATCATAGTGTACAGGAAGCAACAGTGGCACACAAAATGGTTAATTTTGTAATATGGTTAATATTTAAAAAAATTAGATCAGTCATCGTACAAAGATGACATACTGGTCTACTTACCTGAACTACTGACCTCCAAAGGGCTGTAATTTTGTACCACTAGATTGGTACTCTTTTGATTAAGAAAAAGCACTGTAGTATTTTTTATATATCAGCACTGATGCCTTCCTTGTCTTGGCCGCATAGCCGTGTAGCCTTGTAAAGCAGTGAAGCATAACAGACTTGGTGCAAGAGAGTATGATGGTATGAGTTTGTGAATGCTTTAAATGAAATGATTGAAATCTGGAGTGAAAATCACTGGCTTTTTAAGAACCAGTTAGGTGAGTTTGTTCAGGTTTTCTATACCCAGGAGGGGAAGAAGGCAGCAGCTTGTGATGTCCTTCCTCCTCTTAGAGTTCCTCCTGTGTAGCACAACTGCTTTCAATCATACAGTTATGTCAGATGAGGAAGGTATTGTATTAAAGCTGTGTCCAGCCCTAAAGTCACCCATTTTAAGAGAGAGCTATGCTTGTTTTTTAAGTTCTTGCAGTCATGTGACATCTCAATGGCATTTCACCTAGGATCAAGTGACAGTGTAAAGAAACTTCCACATCCTACAATATGCCAAATCGTGTTCAAACTAGTTTGATCCTGATGAAGCACAGAGATCCACTCTGAACTTTAACATCAAACACAGAGAGCTTTCCCTCATCCAATACCTATGCTGAATTTTAAATGGCACTTGTGCATCTCTTGGTTTTTCACAGTAGTTGTGAAAGTGTGCTGATTCCAGTCATCTACTCAATTTGATTAGCCGTACGTCTGTCTGTCTTCTTGCTCATGCCTGCATGTTTCTGCTAGAACCTGATCTGGAGAATCTAGGAGAACCTTTTGTTAGAGATTTTCAAAGGAAACTGAAGCAATGTGTGAGAAGCTAAACTCTGCATTCCATGCCTCACCTCAGTTTCTAGGTCCAGAACTGTGGGCAGGCAACCAGACGTAGACCTATCCTGAAAAGTACTGGATGATGTTCACCCCTTCCTAGCATCGGTAGCTGTCTGTTTGATGTATTATATTGCACAAGATAAAACTAATACTGTCATCCAGTGTTTACAAGAATGTGTCTGTCTTTGGACCACATGCTAGACCCAAGTTGTCTAAAAAAAACCAATCAAAACCAAAACAAAAGTCCTGCAAAAGATACTGCAAATTAAACCAATATTCATTATTTTGTAAGAAATTATAATTTCATTTCATGTAAAATAGGAAATAAAAAATAGGGTTAAATGTTAAGGAAATAAGATTAAAGTTGAATAAGGAAAAATGCACGTGAAAGAGTTGCATTCTGAATATATCACTGGTCTGTTTGTATTTTCCATTGCTGATTCGTTACAGTTACAACCTATGCCAGAAAATATTGCATGTGAATGACGTCTTTAAGAAACAACATTATTATTTACTAACACCAAAGGGCTTTGCATGATATTTTTCAGTTGATTTTAGAACTGTACGATGAGCTTTGTGAGTTCTGGGAGGGGAGAGAGCTGATTAAAAACAAATAGTAGTAACATGAAAAATTACATGGACCATATTCAGCAACTGAATGGATATCTTTCCAAATGATAGTAGCCTTTAAAGAGAGGATTACAGAAATGTTTAAAAAGAAGCAGATATCTTTGGGCAGAAATGTAACAATATTCTTATTCTCAGTTAGTAGCCAACAGCTTTAGGTTCTTCCATGTCTTTCTGTTGCTTCATGTTCCTAATCTCACCTGCCATCCTCTACTGCCTGTAACTGTCAATGTGCCTGATAGCTGAGCTCCAGGATCTGCTGCCACCATCACCTGTCCTGCCATAGAAAGCACCCCTGCATGTCACTTGCTGGTTCTGCTTGATGGATAATGCAATTTTTGTTTAGATAGCGCTGCAGTAATTTGCATAACCAAACTGGCTATACTGTTCTTCTGAAAGGAGAATGGCACAGCAGTACAGTGTTAGGATGAGATTCAAATCTACTAGGATTATGAGTGATGGGTGTATATATGTTGCTGCAAAGGTACCTGTACTGATAACCTTGTAATTTTTTTTTCTCTTCTCAATGCCCCTAATATTTATTATCGGTTGAAAAGGGAATGGTGAGACAAAGTTTTCAATTCCTTTTGTGGACAGAAGTATATTTGTATTTGAAAGTGAGAAGCCACACAGAGTTACTGTGAAGAAAATAAAGGATGTAATTCTAAGTATAGTACTTCCTAAATGGAGCGTATTCTGGAATAGTTTTTATTACAGTGTTTGCAGTCAAGGTTGATTTTTTGCTGAAACAGATGACAGAATGGTAATGAGACTGAATGTATTTAGAGGAGAATTCTACTTGTCTCAGAGGTCCTGTTTCAGGTCATTACTGCACATAACTAGTCTCAAGTATGGCCATTTTCTCAGCAGTCCTCTCCCTTGAAGCAAGAATTTCATATGTTGTTTATCTTTAAAGCTGGGAAGAAAGCCCCAAAAGACAAACATACCTCTGCTAATGAGAAAGGAAAACATTGAGTTTCTATTCCTTTTTGACAATATAGGAGTTCTTTTGAGGAGAAAAAAAAAAAAAAGAAAAAAGAAAAAAAAAGAAATGGGGTAGCAATGGAGGAGAGCAAGGCTGTCTTTCTAGAGTAACGTGACCATCTTGTTTGCCTTCCCCACACGTGCCATGTTGAAGTTTTAATTTGCTTTTATTTTTCTGAAGGACTTAGTAGTGCTTTTTTTAAAGACTACTTTGAAAGCTTAGGAAGTGCTGAAGCCTAGAGATGTCTCCTCATGAGTGGATAGCTTCTAGAGTAAATGCAGACCTTTTGGATCCATCTCCAGACACTCCTGAGACAGACTCATTTGAGAAGAGTAGGAAAAGATCTCTCAGATCCCTCTTCAGATTCTCTGTCTGCATTGGTATGTTGCAGAATGTGACAGAACAAAAAGATGACTACAGCTGTGGAAGTAAACACTTAGAGAATGCAGGCTTAGTGTCTTCTCAGAGTGTTTGATTAAATAAGCTCAACTAGTAAGTTTCAAGAAAATATTTTGAATGAAATATTTATGCCTAGGTGGTTAGTTTTAGATGATATGTGAACGGAGGAGTCATAGTCCTAAAAAGCAGTCCTAAAAACGCTTTGGGACTGACTGACTCAGCCAACTTCAAAATGGAACCTATGATGTCCTGAGCTCCTATAACTCACGCTCACCAGCCATTTTGTAATCAAGCAGCTCATCTTCAGGGGCAGAAACATGAAGCAGAGTTTAACTGAAGACATGCAAGTTCCTGATCTTCAAAGAAGCCCAGAGGTGCAGAGGCTCCAGCTCCTGCTGAACTGCAATACCTGTGGATTTTTGGGGCATAATCTCCTCAGCTCCCTTGATTTAAAACTTGGACTTTGCCATCTCCTTTCTTAATGGCAGTAGTCCACACTTGTTTCTGTCTTCTGGGAACTGCAGTGCTGTTTCTTTGTTTCCTGTATGTGGAATTACAGACACTTTCAGTACTGCTGGCATTTCCAATGGCAGACTTTCAAATACTGCTGGCATTTCAAATTGATTCATTTCCAGCAATAGACTAATTGCGTGCCTTCAGCCAGCACTCGATAGTCTGTACTGCAGAGATAATTTGCATGGTTTTAAAAGAAGGAAAATGGAAAAAAAGCAGATTTTCTTTAAGACAGGGCTGTGAATTGATTGTGATTCATCACATATCACACTGTTGAGCTTGGAATAACTTCAAGACCATAGAATGTTTGAAGGATTAAGGAAAAAAACCCTACTCCCAGACATATTTTTTGAATAAATTACATTTATTTGTATTCTGCTTTGGAATCTTGCTTTGCCATATGCTTACCTTGAAAGTTTAATGGCTGACACTTAGCTTGGCATCAGCTAGATGAGCTGAAGTTCACCTTCATAAAACAGGATGAGCCAAGGCTGAGGAATGATTTGGGGCTCACTTGAGCAGCATCTGCATTGCCCTCTGCTGCACAGTATACACTGCTGAGCTAAGTGAGCAAATCTGTGTAGTTGAAGCTTTGCTTGAATGTTATGGGACTTTGCACCAAGGCGTGGGGGTGTGTTCATGTTAGCTGCCCCTTATCTTTCTGCTGGCACTAGCAGACCACAACTCCAGCCACGTCTGATTTATTGAAAGCTAGTTCAGCCCCTCTCTACCATATGACAGGGAACGCTATAACTGCACATGTAGAGGCTTGAGGGATGGATGCTGTCATTGGAACAGTTGTTCATGAAAAACAGTCAACAACAGAAAAAGACAGAACTGAAAATGATTCAAACATGTAAAACAAAAAACTTGGAAAGTTTTGATCACAAAATACATAGTGTTTATGTTGCCTGATGAGGAAGGTTACACTGTAGTTATTTGAATGTCATAGTTCATAGCTCACATTCAGTAGAAGACAATGTTTTCACAAAACGATGAAACCTGACTTCCACATTAGCACTCTCCTAGAGCAATTAATCATTTGTGGATAAACAAATAATTCTTAACCCTCGTATAAAGAATGTGTATCACCCTTCAAATTTGCTTCCCCTTCTCACAGATGCGTTCATTTCTCTACAGAGCATTTTTCATCAGAGCATTTTTCATCAGAGCATGCAGACGGCAGTATGTGTGTGTACTGTGAACTGTGGAGCAGGCTATCTACAGCATTTCATGTCATACATCCAGGTGTCACTCAACGTGTGCATGCTGGGGATTTTCTTTATTTGTGCTGTGTATCTAAGGATGCAGATTTAGGGATGAGTTTTCCTCACCTTTTAGAGTTTGTTTCCAGCCTTGAACAACTTACCTGCACGTAAAACTTTGCCGTGTATTTTAAGTACTTCTTTTTCTTTCTAATTTTCAGTCCTAGTGCTCTTCCAGAAGAGCAGCCACATTCCAGCTCTCAGTGTGCCCCTCTCAACTGTCTCTCTAAGCCTCCTCCTTACCCCTAATCTTCATATGCAACGTAAGAGAAAACGCAGACAGAGTGGAGTTCATGCAACAAAGGTTCGGGTTGTTCCCAGCGAGCGGGTAGACAATCCTGCCTTGTTGCTGCATCGATAAGTCTGGATTCATATCCACTGCTCTGGCAACTGAGGGAAGGTTGAGAAGAAGAACACAAAGCACAGAGCCCAACCTATCGAGAAGACTTTTTATGGTTCCTCTGATTGTATTCAAACTTTACTATCACAACTAAAGTGTAGTGAAATTTAATATCTCAACAGAAATGTTCCTCCCAGCTGCTTGGCTTTACCTCTGAAATAATGAGAGACTTAAGCCAATATTAATAAAGTATGTTACTAAACCCTACCCTCATAACCTCTGAGTTCAGCCATAGGAACCAGTTCACATTTTCTTTTGTCCTTAAGGGTGTGATATTTCCTTCTTACTTTATTTGCACCATAATTTTGTGTTTATAAAATGCAGTCTTTTTTGCAACAGTTGTATTTAATTCTTTTTTTTCTTTCTTTTTTTTTTTTTTTTAAACAAGCAGAAATAACTGAAGTGAAGAATGACTGTTAATATTAAAGAGAGGCTTGTTGTATTGGCCAGCACACGGCCAATTTTTATTGCACAAAAATGTTGGCAGTGGGTTGAATTGAAATGTTAGTGATGACTGTATATTTTGCTGCTGCACTGATATTGTTTATGCACTTGTTCTTTAATTCCTATTTCATTAGCTTCTGGTTTTGTTCAGGCTTTTCACTGGAAGATTACTATTAGCTTAAGAAGGAGATGAGAGGATGATGTATTAGTTTGTTTTCCGTTTTGCTGCATTGTAATTCTGTTTTTACATTTCAGACAAGTAGATGAATTGGTGCTGTTTTTTGGGGTTACTTTCTATTTGGTATCTGAGAAAAAAAAAATAATCTAAAACAAGTATAATGCCGTGTGCTAATTAAAAACATTCTTTCTTCCTGCTCCCATATTCAGGATACTAGCTTGAGGCCTTACCCTGAAAGACTAGTATGAATGGTGAAGTTGCAGGTATTCTGTGTGAAATATTCTAAGGTGAAGTAACTCCTGCAGGCAGACTTAATGGTGTGGATCAAAGTTAGCAGGACTTTAGTGCATTTTTTCCTTGCCAAAAATCAACAGATACAGAACCTTAGCTCATGTCAGTTTATGACAAATACTCAGGTGATCTACACTACACAGACTCTATTGCAACAGTGCACAGTGCTCCTAGTTAAAGGTTCTTTCCTGTAAAAGCTGAATAATCTGTTGGGTTGTTCTTTTATTTATTTATTTTTTTTTAATAGCAAGTTTCAGAACAAAAGCAAGGATAGCAAAATTTACTTTGCACAGTACCTGACAGCAAGGTAAGCTGCTAAGCTGTAATGGTTCAGCACCTCTGGGCTTCTCATCTAGTCATCACGTAGGAGAAGTCTTCAGTGCTGCCTACCTGTTGGTTATTAACAGTCCTTGCTCTGTCAGGTGGCCTTAATTTATTTACAGAACAAAGGCTTAGATATTTCCACGTCTTTATTCCTTCTCTGCAGTGTAAGTATGATTTACAAGTGGGAAATACAGCGCAGCCTAAGGTACAGAGCAGCTGGACAAAAACTGCTGCAGATATGATTGAAAAATTTTTTTCACATTCTGCCTGAGTCTGAGAAAATGAACTCAGGCTTCTGTTAGAAACAGTGCTTACCAAATGTTATGATACACAAAACATCAGCAGAGGAAAGAATCGGTGACCAATCAGTGTGCCTAACAATTATTATTTCCATGGTACCAGTAATGAAGGTGCTGTAAATAGAAATATTCTCTGTAATCAACGGTATGTGTCACTTGTAGCCTTGGCAAAGCAGCTGAGCTATTGTAACAAAACATTCAGAGTCAAAGGTGAAGAAAATAGGAACAAGTTGACATCAAATTCTGATCAGATTGAACAGACAATTCTCGGCAGTGTTCTGCTTACGTTTACCATGCAGTTCATGTGGTTCTTCTTGTATGCATTTACATAACTATTCAGTGTCATACTTAACCTACATGTTGTCTTGTCAGAGAGAAGTCAAATAAAACTCATTCAGCTCAATCATATTGTTTGATATGAATATTAGCTGCTATTTTGATTTTTACTAAAAAGTAAACGACAACAAAACCATTTTTGTTGGAGGCAAATGGTGCCTCCCATGAGCACCTCACAATTCCTGACCTTGCAGACCAGTGTAGGGTGTAGCTGTAGTTCTGAAACAGTGCTGATGCCTTTGACCAGTAAGGACAGCTATTACTGATGGTTAAGCAGAAAAAGAACTTGCATTGCACATTGAGTAGAGTTACTGCAGGCTGTACTTGGAATAGATTCTCCTATTTTCATATCCAAATCAAACATATTCCCTGAGTTTTAGTTAAACAGGAATTCAGTGAAATGCATTTCTTTTCTATATAGATATGAATATATTGGAAAAAATGTTGTAGTGGAATGTTTGTTTGGTAATGTATTTGTTTCCAATTGTGATTTGCAGAGCAACTTTGGGAAATTGAAACATGCCGGTATGTCCATGTCGATTAAGAGTTATGAAACAGCATTAAATGGTATAGAAATTGTGGCCCTGTTTTATAGAACTAAGTGGGTTTATTAAATTTTTTATCCTCTTAAGCTTTAAATTCTTCATTTCTAAGTTTTCAATTTACATTTTTTAATATGTAATAAAGCAAGTAAATGTTGGAAATCTAAGAGATCTAGAAACAAACCAATTTAAATGTACAAATGGCTGTAGTTATTGCATTGTAAGTTATAAAACTGTGTAGGTCCCCGGGGACAACTTTTGTCAGTTAACCAGTACAAAATAAAATGCATATCTTGAACTTGAGATGATAAACTCTTCTTTTTTTACGTAGTGATTGATAGCATGCAACTTTGTGAACCATTTTGTAGGAAATATTTGCGTACAGACAAGAACAGACACAAAAGCCTTTTTTTTTTTTTTTTTTTTGACTTGCAAAATATACTTTCTTTTCCCATTTAAAATTGATTTATGGTGGGGTGTCATCTATTCTGATTTTTAAATAGTAAGTAAAAAGGTTACAGATGTTTTCCACTGGTTGGTTGAGCGTGCTCTGAAATGCTGAAATGTGTCCTACACGGGAAGGAAGCAATTCAAATTCCGCTCTGATTTTCATATCTGAAATGAAGATGAAGTTTTTGTTCTCTGTGATGGCTTTAAAATTCCTTTGGATTTGAAATGGCATTTTCATTTCTGCTTTAGGGAAACTTAACTTTTCAGTGAAATGGCACAATTCTGGAAATCCAGTTTGTAGGGTATGTATAGAAATGGAAAAAAAAAGGGGGGGGGTGGGAGATGAATAAATAAATATAAATTGTAAGATGTAATAGTATGAAAAATATATTTTCTATCAGAAGGTTATTGGAGGCTTTAACAGAAAGAGGAACTATTATCATTTCTTATGCTGATTGTGTGGATATTTCTGGCTTCTAAGTGGAGACAGTATTGGTATTCTTTCTGGTTGATCTGATTGACAGATTGGCACCTCTGTGCTTGCTCCATCCCCATTTTTCATAGTAAATGAGTGTAAGCATAGCTATTCAGCAGGTTTCATAGGTTGAACTGTAATTAATGTAACACTGCAAGTTTTAATGCCAAAACGACCGATTTATTTTTGATTAGAAAAGATTGTTAACATGCTTAAGCCATTTACCATATTTAAGTGTTAAGAAAAAGATTGTTCTGTATAACCTTACCTAGGAAATGTGACCTCGCCTGTGCAGGCTGCTCATGCTAGGTGTGTTGCAAATACTGCAGTGCAGCTGTTTATAAACACAGCCCAGTTCCCATCACACTGCTAAAGACACCTGCAAATCTGGGCCCTTATTTTGATACCAACTTTATTGTTCAGCGTGCAGTGCCATTGACAAGAGCTGTGCTGCCATATCTGGATTGACCACCATTGTCATCATCATCAGACATAGATTACATGAGCCCTTCTGAGGTCTGTTTCCCTGCTTTGATGAAAAATGTCCATCCATCTAGGATATAGGAAATCTGTGTTTGAAAATGGCAGGCACTGATGTTTTACCTTTGAAGTATAATACTTACTGTTAATACCTCTTTAAAAATTCCAATCACTTTTCTTCAGTTTTCCTTTGCTGTGTTTAGAGTGAGTCTGAAAGGAATATCCAGCTTCAGACTTTTCTAATCACTAGAGATTTTTTATTTTTTATTTTTTAAGTATAATTAAGCATCCTATGGAAAAGAAAAAAAAAAACAAAAAAAACCACAGACCAACCATTGTCTTTCATCTTCAGGCACAAATGCATATAAATATGCAATATAAAATATGTGCTTGAGATTCTTCACATCACGTAGATTTTCCATATCCATAATTAAGCCAGAAAATTCTTATTTCTTCTCTGATCTACATACTCCTCATGTTAAAAAGGCAAGGGGGCTATCACCAAGACTTTATATTTCATTCTGAGGTACATGTCTTAAATCTGTATTGGATCTGTAAGGGAACTGCTTAGTCACAGCCTGAAACAGTGTTTGAGCACCTGGTGAGGGGACACAGCCAGCCCTGAGAACACAGGTGGAAGTCATTCACCTGTGTGACTGGAAGGGTTGGAGCCTGGCTCTATCCCTCCCTGCCACCAGGGAAGGATCTCTGCTTGGAGATTCCTCCTTTTGGAGTCGTTGGCAAGCCCTGATTCTTGGGATGGGTAAGCAAATCTTTCTTTGACTGGATTGCAACCATCATTCTTTTTTGGGCAATTTAGATCTGCTTATCTGCTATTACTTTTCCCTACAGGATTTTAATCTATTTCCTGTGGAGTTCTTCAGAAGGCTCTTATGAAATCTATTAAAAACCAAGTGACAAACTAACAAAAAATAAAGGAAAAAATCTGATGTTCTGTGACTGATGTCAACATGCAGGCAGACTCTAGGTGATAAGGCCCTCCCTGTGTTTCAGAAATGTCTTTCCATGA